AGAATTTGGAGCTTAGAGCATCTTTCCAGGCACACTGGGTCGGTTGCTGAGCTTTGTTCAATGCCTATATGAAGCTCATCAATGCATTGCACTGTAATTATCTAAAATATGAGTTCCCATTCTCCTCAACAACCAAAGAGTACGTGTGATGGATGAAGTGGGGGGGGACGGGACACAGTGTGATGTGACAGAAGCTGAAGCCTTTACAAGGACCTTTGCCCAGCTAAAACTTCACAGGAAAAGCAGCAACATCTTCAAGGAACAATACATATCTGGGAGTTAAGGAAGTGTGTGTTCTGACCCCTGATTTGGTCATGACTTGGGGTTGAGAAGCCACATTTGTCTGACACAGATCAAGTCTTACCCCTTCCCATAGGACATTGGGAGCATCTCTTTAATGCTTACCCTGCCATGCTAGCTGTGTGCTCTAATTTATTCCAGGTATGGCTGGACCTGAACACAAGTGAAATCTCTGAGAAGTTCAGATGCTTAGTGCCTGAAAATCTCACTTTGTTGTACAGAGCTAGAGCTAGAGTTCAGTATTCATGTGGCAAAACAGAGCTGTCCTTCAGTTACTAAGATTTTAAGTGAGGCAAAAACAGCAACCCTTGCTTTTCTCCTTACATATTCTTCTCTGTAGTCCAGTGCAATCTAGGCCTCATACAAAAGCCACAAATATGTGTATGCTTAGTCTTAGCTGACAATTTTGCCAAAGATGAGTAAGACTCTCTTATTGCCCATTGAGTATTCTATTGTGGCAACATCTTATTCATTTTTTAAAGGAATTATATATTTAAACAGATGAAAACAGAGCCTTGGCAGCTAGGACTATAATACATTCTACTCATAGTAAATCCTGCTCTGGCATGTGTGGGCAGAAGCTTGTTCAGGGCATCTTCCCAAACATTGTCGGGTCAGAACAGGGCATTCAGCCTCTGTGAAAGACTGGAATCTGTACAACACCCCACTGGCCACTTTTGTCCTTGCTCTGTTTTACCCATCAGTGGTGAGGCAGTGGGATGTCATTGCAGCCTTGTGGCATGGCCTCACAAACCTGCTGGGGTTTTGGCACAAACCTGATGGCAAAGATATGCAGAAAATGGCAGCTGGGAACCAGGCCCAGGGGCATCCAGTGCAGGGGCTCTGAGACTGGGTTGCAGGCTAGCAGACTTCACTTCCTTCCCTCGTGGCAGTACTTTTGAGTGGTACAGTCTTGCTAGTTCAATTTTATTAAGCAACTTATGTTTTACATCCATTCTCATTTCATAATTGTACTTCTACATGTACCTCTGACCGGGAGCAAGAATTTTATGTAGACAAAAACTCTCCCCACTCTTTCTCTTATGAGTGCTCTAAATGGTGCATAGGATTATTTTTAAAATATCTGTGTAAGAAACTGTGGAAGTGAATCACAAAGAGGAGAGTGTTAAAGATATTTAAGTTGCAAATCAGCAGAAAGTCTTTGTGAAACATTTAATGTGCAGTTGCTGTCAGTTAATCCAGTTTGTTTCCTCCTGTAATTGTCCTGATTTATTTGCACATAACCTCCTTTTCTAGTGATATTTCATGATCCAAACCCTTGAAAAGTGGGGGTCACAATCAAGAGCCCTTGCTCTGGATAGGTTACAAATGCATAGCCAATTGCAAAGAATTTTCCTCCAATGCAGCATTCCCACATTTTATTGATTCATGTGATGAATAGAAACTTTAAACAGAATGTCAATTTTCTTGCAGTGCAATTTAACAGCTTGATGCACTACCATCTGTTTAAGGGAAAATAAGAATCAAGCTGATGTTAGGGTTTAATGCCACAATAATTCTTTAAATTGATGGCAGATTCATCCTTTGAGCAGATTGATCTCTTTTGGAGATGCTGTATAACAGCAAGAATTATTTGGTCTCTTAAGCAGGAAAAACGGAAAATTTGGTACTCGAGAAGAAAGGAAGCCAGAGAGAGAGTGTTTAACCACATAGTCAGCAGAAGAGTCAAGGGGAAAATCAGCACATTGGCTTTCCTGCTGAAGGTGAGATAGCAAGCAAGGACAGTACTGGCGGACTGTGAAACCAGACTGCCAGGAGCTGTTACAATTGTACAACAGCTGCTGTTCAGCAAGTGATGCTGCCTTCCTCATTCGCCTTAGGCTTTTCACTAAGTCTCTTTGCATGTTTTCTGGGATGGGGAGCCTTCTGTGGCAAGTCATCTTTACATTTTGCTTGTGCAGTATCCAGCATCATGTTCATAATCACCAATGCTTTTATAAATGATAAATTGAATGATGACGGTACTATTTGCTTTTATTTTCTCACTGCTATTCATTTTGCTTGCTGATCTCTTGCAAATAAGTCTTTCCCACATTTCAACAAAGAACATAGTCCAGCAGTTAGGCTCAGTGCTAAATCACCTCTGCATATCCTCGTTATTCTTCAGTATTAGAAGTGCTAAGAAGCATAGAGGAATTCAGGGTAGCTAAGAAAGTTTTTTCCCAAAGCATCACTTATTTGCAGTGATTCTCCAGATGCTTCTTCAAGAAAGTTAAATAGATAGAGGACAGCTAAAATATTTCCCCTTTCTCTAAATTTATTTTCCTGTTGTTTTTCCTTCATGGTTTGGTTAGAAATCAGCATATGGCAATGGGTGCTCCATGTACTACAGCATGTTAAAAGGTGCAAAGGAAAATAAAAGTTAACCAGGGTATTCTTAATACGATGCTCCACCTGGACATCACAACAGTTAAATTCTGAAAGTTACTGATGTTATCCTTCTATCATTTGCTGTCCTCAAGGACCAGCCAAGCCAGTTTAAAATTAATTAACATTAATAGATATTAATTTTGTATTCCTTTCATGAAAAATTTTTAGCATATAATGGGAGTTCTTTCTCCTTCCTTAAATGAAAAATTACATGAAAAAGCTTTCAATTGTTCTAGTCTGAAGTCATCCAGAAATAAAAGCATCACAGAAAAAGAGAATTCATAAATTTAGGAAATAGTAGAAAAGAGAAACATACCTTGGAGTACTAAATAACTTCAGTAGAATTTTTCCTCTGAGTGTAGGTGCTAGAATTATGTGCTATTTTGAAATCAGCTCAACTGCCTGAATGCAATCTGCTAATAAGAGCAGACTTTCCCATGCTCTTGGTTGAAATAACCAGGTAAGAAGTTTGCAATTACTTTATTAACCATTAGGGGAACATCTAACTAATAAATGTTATTAAAATCTCTGAAATTGTTCTTTAAAAGCAAACAGGTCAGTAGAAATCTGTAGGTGGAAGTACTGATATTCTAGGAGATGCTTGGGACTTGACCTTAGCTAATGGATGGTTACAGGGATGAACTAGTCTGGGTTGTGAAAACTGATGATCTCCTGACTGTTCTAAGTCTGAGAATGTGAAACTTTTAATCATGTAAGAAGCAGCAAAGGAAATAGAACCACAACCTTGGCTTGAGGAGGGATGATGATGGCTTATTCAGGGATCTGTTTGGCAGGATCTCACAGGAGCCTGCCCTGGAAAGCAAAGGGACCCAGAAATGCTAGCTGACCTTCACTGACATCCCCATCAAAGAAGAAGAAAAGTCCATTCTGACATGTGTGGAGTCAGGAAAGTGGGGCAGGCAGCCAGCATGCAGGAACAGGCTGTCCTGCTGGAGTTCAGAGAGTAGGCAAGCACAGAGATGGTGGAGAGTACTTGCACCATGAAGCAAAACAGAGACATTACTCTACATTGACTAAAACATGGAAGCATTTACTAAAGCCAAAGCTCAGCAAGAGTTAAGCTCATATGGGACTCAGAGGTGCTCCTGGAAGTACACAGGCAGAAAGAAAATGTGATCCTGCTCCTCAGGGGCCAGGTGACTTAGTGATACAGGACATGGAAAAAGCTGAGGTGCTTTATGTCCTTTTTTGCCTTTTTTTTTTTTTTTTTTTAATGGATGAGGTCTAGCCTCAGACACTGAAGCACTGAAGAGAAAGACAGAATGGGGAGCACCTCAGTTACTTGGACACAACTAAATCCACAGAGCCAAGCAGGATGTTTCCCAGGAAGTGGGAGAAGGGTGTGGTGGAAACCTTTAAGGTCAACAAAAACAAACTGTCCTGCACCTGTGGCCAAATTACCTTACGCCAAGAGTAGAGTCTGAGCCCCAGTGGTCAAAAAGCAGCTTTGCAGGAAAGTACTCAGGGATGCCAGAGGAGAAGCAGCAGAACATAAGCCAGCCATGGGCTCTCACAGCAGGGAATGCCAATGGCATTGTGGACTGTAGTAGATAAGAGTGTGCTCAGCAGGTTGATGGAAGGGATTGTTCCCCTTTGTTTGGCATGTGTGACACTGCAGCTGGGAGTGAGACAGCATCTGGAGCATTATGTTCAGTTTTGGGCTCCCCAGTGCAAGAAAGATACGGACAAACTGGAGCAAGTCCAGGTTTTGATGTGCAGCCAAGGCTGCCATCAGTGTTTAAAGCCCATAAAAGTTTATCCCTTTTAGTTTGAGTCAAGTAACTCAGTTAAACACATAATTAACCAAGTGAAACACAGCAGTCTATGATATACAGACCAGGTAAGATGATCTCATATTTTGTGAATATAAAAGAAAAAAAGATAAAATGGAAAACAGCATATAATTTTGCTTATCCAGAATGAGAGACTTGAAACAGAAAACCATTTATCATGAGCCTGCGCCTCTAGTGCACCAATAGAGCAGCTTAATGCCAAAATCAAATACTTTGGAAAAAATTAAGAGATACTAACCATCTTCTAAGTTACTGTTTAGAAACTATGTTCCTTAAATGAATGTTTACATTGGTGTCTCAGCAAGTGTCAGAGACCTGGAGGAGACAACTGGAATGCTGTAGAAGCTTGCCTTCTGTGGGATACAGTTCCCTATCTACTTGCCATATTAACAATGATACCTTGTGCTTAGAGACACTACCTAGTTAATTTCCATATATTAAAGCTTTATTTAAATATTTGTATTCTAAAATCCAATGAAAACATTGAGGCTATTGTACTAAAATATACTTTATTAATACAAAATATTTTCTGTCATCAATAAATACATAGATAGGATCTATACAGATATATGTATATTATTATACATTAATGTACATATTTTTATATTTATCAGCTCTAATTCTTCTATGAAATTCATATTATGCTGTAACATGTACAATTTTTTACAATGTAACATTAAATTAAGTCCCCCAAATGTTATTATAAAAGTCAAACATATCAGCTGTTTTCCCTTGTCTACAGACTTCAGCATCTTTTCCTAATTGAGAAGTTGTGAATTTGTGAGCTTCTCCTCATTCCTCTGAAAAATGTCACCCACATCTTCTCACTTCTGTCTTCTGTCAAAACCTTCTATCCAGTTATAGAAAGGCTTAAAGTCAGTGAGGATGCAGCATTCAGTTCAGGAACAGGCACCTGACAAGTTCTTCGATCCCTGCCACTAATTCTAACACACTTTTCATTTCCATCCCTCAAGTCAGCATAGGGACCTTCCTTGCTTCCTCTAGTTGGACAGCGCAAAAATAAAGATCCAGATGATCCCTTTCTCACAGGCTGCCTTGTCTCATTCTCTTCAGGTCTGTTGTACAATAAATTCTGGTGCCTGCTACAAATGTCATCCTCCCATGATACTATAGTTGGAGTTTCTGAACAGACTAAACCCAAATTCAAGGCTCCAAGTGCTAAAAAAGCCCAGAGCACTAATGATGCACACCACCACCCCAGTCTGAAGGCCTGAAGTAATTTAGTATTTTCTCATAAAATCCAGGAGTGCCACTTTTGAATAGGCAATTCTTTTGCATTCTGCCAGGGCTGCAATTCCTCATCTCTCCTGCTGCTCTCTGTAATTTTACTCTCTTACGTGAGCCACTGAAGCAATCACCTATCTGCAATATGTATTTTCTCTGTGTCTTGTATATTAATGTATGGAAAAAACATTCTGCCTCCATACTACTAGTGTTTTGTCATCTACCACAAGAGAGCACACATCTCCTTACCATTATCCTTACCCACAGCCTCCCCATATAATTTCTTCAAGAATTAACTCCTTAAGAGTGTGGTCTAATAACTTAAAAATAACCATTCTGCTATTTATAGGGTGAAAAAAAATGCCAGAGTCCAGCTTTATGTATCCTGAATATAAATTTTCACCAAAAATGTATGACATAACATGGAATTTAGCAAAAGTAATTTAAATGAGGAATAGAAAAATGATTACATTTTCTAAAGCAATGCAAATGTGTGACAGTTTTATTTAAACTGCAAATATCAAATAAACTAAAAGAAATAATTTAACACCTATAATGGATTCAGTGAAAATCAACTGATAACAAAAGAGCTACTGGCTATTGACAGAACTTTGTAAACTATTTGTTCTTCGGGAAGGCAATAAACTGCTTAGTAATTACAAAAATATGTGACTTTGCCAGGTGGTCTCCAGGGAGGACTCATCTCATTCCCATGGACAGCCTGCAACTTCTTTTGGCTCTTCTCAAGCTGTTCTCTCCTCATTTTATTTTCCTGAGAATAAAAAGATGTGTGAAAAAAAGCCCTAACCAAAACAATGCCCCCACCCCCACACACCCCACCCCTCAACAACAATTCTACTAACAGAAAAGTTACATTATTGTTATGCCTTTCTTGTGTAAAATTAAAAGAAAATGTGCAATGGAAATTTGCCTTTTGGAGCTTGGCACATCCTTTTTAGAGGCTCAGTCACAGACATTGCACAATGCAACACAAGAGGCTGCACATTGGGTGTCACTTACAATTAGGGTGACTGTCTCAAGGATGGGCTGGGTTTGTGTACTGGCTAAACAAAAGCCCAACAGAAGGCCTACTGGATTAGGTATTGGTCTTGTAGGTAATTGGTCTCATATTAATTACTTCTTGTCTTTAAGAGGATACCTAAATCACAATGCAAAATATAATGTTCTCATATAATGATGCATCACTGTAATTTTCTGTACTTATTAAATCGCACTTGCCATGTATTAGAACAAACTGTAATTAAGCAATTTAATTTTAAACCAAGATCTATATAATTTATGTAACAAGCACTGCAAGGTTCTAGTTCTATTTTCTATTGTTTCAAACAGCAATCGGGCAATTAGGATGATAAAGGATAAGCAAGATACTTGCAACACTCTTTTTGTGTCTCATTAACACATGATTTTCAAGAGACCTGTCATTCAAAAATTACGTTGCGATTATTTATAATTATTTTTTAATTTCTAATCAGTTCTATTCTACATAAAATAAGCATTCTTTGCAAGGATGACTGCCATTTCACCCTCAAGAGGATCTAAAGGTGCATCTGCATTAGCAGTACACTGGTGAGCTCTCTATGAGTGCAAGTTTTCCTTGCAGGTTTGTGGTGCATATGGGTGCACATTTCTTACTGACTTAAAAGTAGTTTTTTTCTTGGTGGAACCAAGGTTGGCCATATAGACTACAGCACAATTTATAGTGCCCCCTGTGATGGGTGGATAAGAGGTCCTTGAGCAGCTGCCTTTCTCACACATGAACAGTACATTCATTCCCAAGACCAACAACTGGCAAACACATCCCTGGTAGTAAAGATGCAATGTGGATACGCCCACTTAAAACCATCATCAGCTATGCCACATCCAGCCCTGGTTCTTTCATCGTTTGCAGCCCATATCAACCCAATCAATATGATTTTAAATTGTGCCATTCAGCTCTTTGTCAACATAAATCTGAAGATCCAATTCAGTTAGGAACATCTGGTCTGGCTAAAAAAACACACAATAATTTCATGTCATTATTAATAAGGCTGATTAAAAGCACGGCAAGATTTGCACGGAAAAGGAATGCCCTTTCCTAAAATAAGCAATACAAAAGTTCATCACAGTCTAATAAAAAATATTATCTCTGTAAAAACTTTTTCTTTCTGATCACATGGAGTAATTGAGATAAACTAGGCTTGTAGCACTGTGACATTCTGACTATTCTCATCCTTCACTTTTGCCTTCTTTCTCCTTCCATAGAGATTTTGTCAGATGAACATAACTACTGGCTTCAGGTCTTTAGAATAAATTCAAGATATTCTAAAATTCTTCAAGGGAACTGTTTAGTACCCTAAGAGAAAATAGTCTGCATTATCAGTATTATTTTTCAAAAAAGACATCAGGATATGTGAAGCAGTACACATGAGCTTGAGAAGAATATGCTCTAATGGAATACATATATGATACATGCTCCTGTTTCTATAGTCATAGAATTATATTGTACAAAGATATGTATACCATTAGGACAGGTATGTGAAAACTCATTAAAAGACTCTTTGCAGCAGTATTGCAAGCATTAGAGAAATTGCATGCTACAAAGAAATGTGCATATTTTATGTTTATCAAGCACTCTACTGAATACATGTTACACAATAGGCTCAAGTATGAAAAACCACAACTTAAAATAAAAAAAAAAAACCACAACTTAAAATAAAGCATACACCCACCCAGGAAAGGAACAAAAGTTGCTCTAGACTTTTTAACTGTGCTTCACTTTTGAATGTTTGGGTTTGAAGATACAATTTCCATTAATAAATGTATCAAGGAAAGTTAAGTTACTTTAACTGTTTTTTAAAAGATTAAATTCAAAGTGAAGATCTACTGGCCTCCTTCCTGTCTTCAACACACACAAAGTTTTTATCTTCTTGTTGTAACTACAGTGCAAATTCTCACAAGACAAAACTGATAAAAATATTCCATAGAACAATGAACAAGATGTTATTTGCACTAATTGAAGAAGAGTAACAGAAACAGTGAAAGGTTAAATCAATAACTGTAGCTTGTCTTACACTAGATCAACTCAACTGTATGGCTTGATTTCCATGGAAGTTTCCTACTCAACAGCCTAGTAAGATGAATATATTTTTCACTTATCAAATTCTGGGAAGAGTGCATTCTTTAGCAGTATGACTGCCACATAGAAATTGAATTTTAGATATTACAGAAGACTGACAACATTTAAGAGGAATAACAATAGCAGCCTCATTTCTAACCTACTGCAATGACAGGCCATGAAAATTTCAATTTAGAAAGTATTTTCAGAGAGATCTTATGAAATTGATGACTACATGAAATTAATAGCCCACTTCAGCTGTTTCTAACCCAGAAAAGCAGCAAATCTATGGGACTTTTCCAGTACATCCTTTCTTGATGTTTTTAAACAGCCTAAAATAGATATTGCACATACTCAAATTCAAGATAAAATGTCAAACTTCTTCTAAGGCTTTCAACATTACTATGCTGGTCTTCGAAAACTATTTGAGAGCAGCCTTACTTTTCGGAAGCTCACAGTAGATTGATTCTGATCACAAAAAAATGGACAACATTAACTTATCTAGAGATGATACTCACTTCTATCCACAGTAAACAGGCATCAAGATCAGTATCTCAGAACTAATAGAAACTAAAGTGATCTGTCATTATCAACTTTCCACGTGATTCTTGTCTACATTCCACTCCTCAGAACAGGTGCATGTCAGTGACAAGTGTCAGACACTGGTATTATGCAGTAAGTAAAAAATCATCATTTATCAAGATAGATTGGCTTGAAGAGTTCTTGCCGAGTAGCAAGAAGCAAATTATATGAAAGAAACAAAATAATCAGAAGCTTGAATTTCCAGGCAATATTAAAGCATCTCACCTCAAGATTATCCTTTTTATGTCAGTATTTTACAAGTGTTAATAGTCTTTTCCAGCGCATTTATTTCTAGGCTTAAAAAGTAATCTTCTCTATACACTTATGCTATCAAACATTCACACAATGACCTCTAAAAGCAGAACTAACAGAACTTCCATTAACATAAAAGCAGAATGTTTCTTCTATTTTACAAGAACTACAATGAGATTTTTATGTCTGTTTTACCTATGCATTATGGTCAACACCTGCTTCAGGAAACCTGAGGATTAATGTATACATTTCTTTCTGCTGAATGTGAATGAAAGCATATTAGAATACTTCCCACTATATCCCTCCTATTTTATTTCCCTTAAGAAAATTCCTTTTAGTTGAAAGAATACTTTTAAAAGACTTCCAAATTCTGCCCTCAGATCTGATGCCTATCTACCTGCAGGCAGATGTCATCTGAGTTCCCTTGGTAATGCAATGATGACTTTACAGTGTTTCTCTCCTACACTTCACTAATGGTCTGTATTTTTTCTGTAACTGTACAAAGTGAGGCAATATTCTAGCCAGAGCCCTTTCCCAATATGCTTTCTCAAATAAATGTGTGTAAGTTGCAAAAAGGACAAATTCTGAAAGTAAAAAATGTAAAGACTAGGCACAAGACACAGCAGTCAATACTTGCACACAGACATTGAAAATGGGATCATTTTAGAGGTACTTCTGCCAACCAGGTCAGTACTTACCCCATCCTACACTTGCTTATTTCTCAAGTAGACACATGTATATCTAGCTAGATCTGGTCTTTCCTCCAACTACTAAAATTTTCATTAATAATCCCACTTAAGTGATCACCTCAGGAATTGACACACAATTTGAATGGGAGAGCCTGTGCTAGGCAGCATCTTTCACTTCCAAATAAAGGGATATTTTTTTTACCTTCATACAGAGTCCAGGACAGCAAGGAAGCCAAATGTACAATGAGAAGTAACATTCTTGTTTTGGTACAACTAAGCTGATTATGACAGTCTCAGTGAGGAGAGCATACCAGGGCAGTGCATTAGTTACTGCTCAAAGCATAGTACTCCCTATCTCGGCAATCAGGAATATTGACCAAGCAAGAAATAACCTAAGATCAGACAGTAATCATTTGCTAAACTGAGCTGAAAATCTCTTGACAGTGGTGACAAGAAAAAAACCTTCTTATCAGTGATTACAGAAATGAGAGGTCTTTCAACAGGGGACCAGGTCAAACATCTTAAAAGATATAAAACTAAGACTAAAAAAAGGCTGGAAACAGAGAGAAGGGAAAACATGCAGGCTCTTGCTGTTTTTTGCAACTATGTATTTCTGAGTTAGCCAAGTAAATGATGATTGTCCTCTCTAAATCCTCTCTAAACCTGTCCCACACTTGTACAGCTGCCTGACTCAGCTCTCATCTATCTGCCATCTCCTAAAAAAAAAAAAAAGCTATTGACACTAAAGAAGAATTCCTCTAAGGACCATAATCCAGCTGGGTTGCAAGATCCCGTTCTTAAAAATGGCAGCAGAGACCATATGTACAAGGCATGACAGAAATCACATGGAAGAGAGACAACAGAAGAAACACTTTCTAATTAAAAAAACCTTAACAGTCAGCATGAAGGAAGACTATGTCACAGGATTAAAACAGGTTCTTCTTTAACTGGCAAGTCACATACCTTAAAGAAAACAACATGCTAAGAATATTAGAGATCTCTCTTCCAGTCTGTCTTTCTGCAGCAAGGAAAAATAACCCGACTTATTTTTGGGACTAGAGCGCTGGATTAATTTACTGCTATACAACAGGGACACTGCTGTGAGAAAAATATAATTGAGAGCATCAGAGTTCCACTCTTTCTTGCAAATGGAAATCATCTTGAACCTCATTACAAGTGCTTTTATCAATTGTGAGGTCTCCCAGTCTCCATTTTCAACACTTCCTTGAATGTACACGCATTGATTGTTGCAGCTGGCAATGCTGTTTGACTTTGCAGGTTTTGTGCTCTCGCTAATTGGCCCTTCAGAGATGGTTACTCCTGATACGGAATGGCAAAAAAAAATGAAGCCTAATGGAAACTGGAAACTCTGTGTAGGTAGAGTGAATATATTTTCCATGTATGCCAGATATCAAGTGCACTGTACTTAAGCAACATTTTGCTCACAAATTCAAGGGGGACAGGCGATGTAATGTTGCCACCGTCTGGCCTCTCTCGTAACAGCACAACACCCCATGAATATTGCAATACTCAAGTGTTCACAGTACATCAAACATTTTGACTTTGACAAAAGGTCAAAATATAGAAAAACAAACCCAACCAAACATACCAGCCATCTTTCATATTCCTCCATAGCCTTTACACTTTTTTCTTCCTTTTTTGCCTGTTGTATTTCTCGCTTTCTTTTCTCTTGGAATTTTTCTACTTTCTTCTTTTTTATATATTCTTCCTTCTTTTCATTCCTGAGTAGTGAGAGGGAAGAGCAAGAGGTCATCATGTACAAACTAAAAGCTTCATCTGGGACCAGTTAAGTAAATTGAGTCAAAGTATGTATTTTACACTTTTAATAAAAGATTGAGAATATGTATTTTAAATATTCCATGTCCATTTTTATATATCACCAAGGTATAAATGAATCTACTACTCTATCAATTATGGCATTGCCCTTTCTCTACTTTGTTTTCCCTTATTTAGTATCATTAAAAAAAAAGCATTCTGAATTTCTTTTTTTTTTTTTTAAAGCATTCTGAATTTCTGTAGGTAACTGTAAGTTGTACATTGTATGTGAAAACTCTTGGCTTGTAAAACTACTACAGAGTATCTCCAGCAGACACATCTCATTTCCTTCTTCTTACATCTGCATTCCTACATTGTATTCCATGAAAGTTTAAAGATTTACCTTCCTTCCTGTGGCTTAATAATGAAGCATGAAAATAACCATGTAAGACACAATACTACTAAATTAATTTTCTCATTTGCAGATCTCTGCCTGGGCTTAGTTAATATACTCTTGGGGAGGAAAGCAACTAAATTAATAAACGGAAGGGAGCTGCACAGCTGGTTTTCACTGCTAGACATTGTCTCCATTGGGAAGGAAGAGTCTGATCCCAAACATTCCATTGTCTTCCAATTACAAGCACATCAAGCATTCACAGAAGACCTATTACATTTATAAGCAATGATTTTTGAAGCTATGAAATAGCAAACACAATGGAAAAGTACCATTTTTCAACTGCTGATGCACTGACTCTCCTCTTCTCTGCAACTAGGTCCTCTTCTATCTTCTTCTTCATTCTTTCAGACTGTTTTTCTTTCCTGCTTTGCTCTCTTAAATATTGCACTTTTTTTTCTTCCCATTTTTTGAATGCCTAAAGATAACCACAGATCCATGAAAAAATCTTACCTCTCACCTTTCTGTCAATACTCCACTAGTCTAATCTGCATTATTATTTTTTGTAATTACTACACATTCTAAATTTAGAATATTCACTTGTAGAATTGCTCAGAAGTGGGTATCACTATACCTAAAAAGAATCTTATTTTTCCAGTAGGTAATAGTTAATTACTAATGTATTTGTATGAAGCTTATTTTACACTCAGTTAATAGACTCCAAATATAGAAGCCTGTTTGTCTGGAAGTGTAAACATTACATATTTCTTACAGAACAAAACCTAATAAAAGTTTTCTTCAAAAACTAAGAATGTCTAGATTTAAGATTCTGGTTCATTTCCATCTCTTTCTGGATTAACCAAAATTATTTTTACCATCTCCTGAACCACATTCAAATACACACTTAGGTACATATTTCACATCACCGCTTGTGCTGCTTCTGTTTTTTCCTTATTCTGTTCTGCTGGTTTCTTTTCCTCAAGTTCCTCACGCTTTTTTTTTTCGCTTAACTTCTTTGCTTCTTTCTCTTTCTTTTTTTTCCAGGCTTCATAACATGCAATTGATTCTTCTCTTTTAAGTGCTTCTTTCTAGATTGGAAATAAAAGTCTACATTTAAATCAATTTCAGTATAAAATTCTAAGTGAAATAGTATGCTTTAAATTTATTGCTAAAAGAAGCAATAAAGAAACAGACATTTATTTGCTGACAATGTTGCAAGTATTACAATTAAATTTTAAGCATATATAGGATTGTTTTCTATGCCCATTTTTAATTTAATTGAATGAGACTAACTGTTCCCACAAAATATGTGTAGAAGGATATGAAATGCATGTTAAATGCTTAGAAATGAAACATATTAACTACTTAAAAGCTAAATCAAAGAATGTGCATGATACTATTCAAGACAGAGCCCTCTCTAGGTAAGCATCTCTTGAGACAGGGAGTGAATGCCTCATGTTCTCATGCACAAAACAAAACTTGGCACCATAGGGTTGAGCATCCCAAGGTCTCTGTAAACTAACTTGAAAATTACTCTAGGAAGCAGATTTCTAACACACCTTATATAAATGTGTAGGGAAGCATTGGACAGACACCGCTTGCCACAACCCTAAGAAGTAGGACATGCCATTTGTTGTTTCACATCACCTCATACTATTTGGAGAAAAACAGATACCTTACAACAGCAGAGGGATGCATTTAGGCAGGAAGAACACTCCAAAAAGTCAACTTTGAGTTTGTCAATTTCTTTTTAAACAACAATGTAAACAAACCTTTTCAGTATTGTTCCTTAGAATTTCAGCTTTTTCCTTTTCACTTCTCTTTAATTCCAGTAGAAGGAGCTTTTTCTTCTCCAACCAGTTCTGTAAGAATCATTAAAATATTTTTAAGTCCTTTTAAGGTATTTGTTACTCTCAGTTCTTCCATATGCTAGTTAAATAAGCATCCCATGTGGAAAACTAAGATGTCACCACATGAACATTGTGATCAAAAAATTTAAGGTTCTAAAACCACAGCTACAAAATCTTAAAAAGCTTAAAGATCCTTTAAAAAAGCATCTTCCTAGAAACACCAACAAAAACGTAAGCATTAAGCAGAATTAAATAGAAGAATGGAATAAAGGTTCTTATCACTAGGTATATAGGAATATTATTTACATTTGGCTTGTTCGTTTTTAAAATCTACCTGAAAAACAGCTGCCCTTAAATTATCTATTTTGTTGAATTCTGGACTTTTCTTCTGCATGCATTTATCATCCAACACCTTTAACGATCCCAGATACTGAGATGAAACAGGTGAAGTTGATGGAACAGCTTTCCCCTTTCTCTTTAAATGCACAAAAGTTGTAGACCTAGGAAAATACCAGGACACAAACACATTAATGAACTTGCCTTTTACTGTAGCTCATACCAAGCAGTGCTGCTCTTATTTCAGTGCATACCAAGAGTTACTTTGTTGTTTTGGTTTTTTTCCTATGCACTTGACTGGGGACTGGAGAGAAAAGGAGGAAGAACTTACCTCTCATAAGTTTACAAACTACTTACACATTCATCTAAAATCAGCTCAAAGCCTGTAAAGACTCCAGTAACACACACATCACAGACACTGGCAAAAGATCTGTGAGTCTGATCTGACATAAACCCGAGCAAGGGTCATAACAAGATGCCACATGCACTAAACTGTTTTCCACAGATGTTAGAGGTTGTCAGCAGCAAAGACCATGCTGACAGAAAATGAGAGGGGAGCAGCATTGTCGGGGCGCTTAAGGCATCTTAAATGGCTCAGAACATGCTTGGCATTCTTCTCTTACCTGTCAGATAAAGAAGCCTTTGGGTTTTGTAGAACTTTCTCCTTTGTTTCACTTAGTTTCTAAGAAACAGAGGAAAAGTAAAGTTATAGAGTCTCTTAAGCAACAGATCAGGATGAAACAGGCTTTTACAAGATAACAAAGACTCTGAGAATTGGACTCAGCCCTTATGAGTCCCTTCGAAGTCAAGATATTCCATGGTCGCATGATGTTATAAAACAGGCAAGAAAGACACCCTAATAAAGAGAGGGTATAGTACAGGGTAAGAAAGTAAGGAGAGAAAAAACGCAAAAACCAAAACAAAGAAAGCCCCCAAACCAACCAACCAGCCAGCCAACCAACCAACCAATCAACTAACCAACCAACCAACTAACCAAACTTTCAGAATGCCTGTATCATTTTGGAATGGCAACTAGAAATGTTCATTTGTATTATGTAAAAATACAGTCAATAGTTTGGAAATAATAAAAAGCAGAAAGAACACAGCTGGTTTTCTATAAACAGTCTTTTAAGTATTTTGAATACTTAGCTTTAATAATTACATGTAGCTACAATCTTTTTAGGATAATCACACATGGATTCCATCCTCTGCTAACACACACTGTTCACTGGTATTCAGCTATCCTCACAACAGACATTTGACATTTTTACTTTGAGAAGGGTACTTTCTTAAGGCTGGAAAACACATTTCAATACCTTTATCTGACTTAAATAATTTGTGGAAAAGGTATTCCTTATATCTCTCACAAAGCTCTAGAAACCAGATATAAATTGTCAGCTTTACACAGTGTTCTACACACTTAAGATACCAACAGTAACTTTACAAAACTCTCCACTGAGCTTCTAGGACATTGTTCCAAACACTGGTAAACTGTGTATGAGCAATACCTTGACAGAGTTCTTGGATGTGTTTTTTGCCTCCCCATGCTCAGACTGATCATTCACTGACACCTCCTGCACTGCATCAATTGTTTGCTCTTCTGTTATTTTCATGGTTCCATCTGAACTGTCAACAGAAGGGGATTTCCTACCATTGTCCTCCAGTTTCAAGTCACTGGTGCTGACAGTCTTCTGATCTTGGTCTAAAGGGAGAAAAAAGACTGAGAGGACACATTAACAAGAACTTCATTGGTTTTGGGCATTGTTTTTTCTGTACAAAATGTATTTCTAGAAAAACCATCTATGATACTTGTTAAATTTTTACTGAGTTTTATATAGTATAATGTATTTTCTGTATGCCTCCTTCTAAGAACTATATACGAATAAGAGCAGTATTTACTTGCATTTCCATGTAAGAATAGAGTAGCAACAGAAGCTTGAACTAATGTTAGCGAATGTGAGAGCAAGACAAAGGCAAAATTTTCCATCTGCACTACCGGCTCTAGTGCAGAAACCAAAGCAAGAGTCATTGCAGTCACAGCAAAAGCTCTTCTGACATCTAGCAAACTTCTAATGAAGTATGCCAGTTAACACTCTGGGTAACAAATACTGCTTTCATTGCGTACTGTTTTTCAGGGGTGTGGGACACATTAGGAAATAACTGAAAAATTCCACAGTGAGGATTTAAAGAAAACATCACCTCAATCAGAATGTTTGCCTAAGTGGTGAAATTGTTACTTATGAAACACATTATTAATAAGACTTAAAAAAGATTTTCATCAGATTTTAACTGCCAGTGATGCAGAGATCTAAATTTGTAAAATTCACACAGAAGCCAAAAAATGCCCAAATTAGAAGTCTTCCCCAAATTTCTGATGGAATTCTTTAGAAAAACTGAGTTTTTGGATGACAAATTAACTCCACATTACCCGAAGAAAGCAACATTAATGCCCATAATAAAAGAAATTTACCCTAAATTTACCCTAAATTTACAGTGATGAAGGCAAGTTCAAGGTAACAAGAATTCTTAATTTACTGAATTTTAACCAATAACGCAGTGTGTCACTGCACTACTCTGATTCACATAAAGGACAGGAGTAGTTCAACTTCTTTTCTGCTAGTCTAAAACTACACAGGCACACCAGCCAGGAAGGAGAGGTGTTTGCACATTCAAATATCTTTGATGGCACTTTGGTGCCATCATGTGGAAAGGAAAACAGAAGCTGATACCTTTAATCATGCTCTATCAATTTCAAAGTTGCAATCTTCCATCACAGGTAATAACCAGCCATAAACTTATCTCAACATCAAACAGCACAAATTCCTCTCATATTAAGAATTCCATAAAAAATAGTAAGTATTTTGACACATATAGTTTATTAGCAGAATTCCAAATTCTGCATTGCATATTAAAAATGTATTAGCTATTCTTATACTGAAGTTTGGGGGGGTTTATGTGTTTGACTATACATCCAAACTGTGTCAGTGGACACTATGTGACTACAGCTTTCTGTGCCATGCACACACTGAAGAGGCATTTTGGCAGCCCTCTCATGCCTTCCATGCACATGCACTGAGCACATGGAGAGCTGGGCTTCAGGGACCTAAACAGCTGTTTTTCATCTTCTGAAAGGAAAAGGCAAACAGGAACTTCCTGCTCTTGGCCCACACTGGTTCAGTTTACCACCTGAGCATACTGTGTTTGTGTATCTTTAGAAGATGATAGTTTACACAGAAAATAACCCAGATTGAAACACTTTAAAATACTGTAACATGGCTAAGCAGCAACATTAAAATACTTTCTTTTCACCTGATGCTGAAGTATTTCCTTTTTTGTGCGTCTGAGGCTTTGCTTTTGGTTGGTTTTCCTCTTGATTTCTTTTTTCACGTAGTTCATTAATAGGCAAGTTATCACTGTCACTATTATCACGCAGTACTTCTTCATCATTTTTTCTGTCATTATCCTCATTTTGACCTTCCAAACATCCTTCTTCGCCATAGTTTCTGTCATTCTGTATGCACTCACCTTCTAAAACCATTATTTGCTGAAGCTTCTTTTCATGAAAGGATAAATTCAAGTCATCAGCAGCTTCATTTTCCAAATCTACTGCTTTTTGTAAAGCATCATCATTCAAGAGAGGACTCCCAGCAACAGATCTCTCAGTGCTTGTAGAACCTGAATTACTTTCAGCGAGTTCTTTCCCAACATCTGCAAAAAGCATATTACCAACTTAAATTTTATATAAGTGGGGAAAAAAGCAACACAGAACCTGTATCTTGTATAACTTAACAGTATTTTTCACGTAGCACCCTCCTGATTTAGGTTTCTGAGCATTTCTTTTTCTGTGCCTCTGATCTCTGCAAAGCCACCAAACTACAGCCTTATTCTACTTCCTTTCCTGTTATCTATTTTCCTGGACCCAATTGAAAGAAAAATATTCACTCATTAATTATTTTCTGCCATGCAATTTAAAGTCCTTCTGAAAAAAATGTCTCAATGTTATAGAAAGTGCAAGCAACACAGCTTGCAACAAAGCCGGGCACGTTTGGTATTAGAACCTATCCTCCCTTTCAGTCTCTTCGCTTCTGCCCCATTTAAAGTCTACTAGAAGATACTCAAAGGAAGTATCTTCTACAATGCCAAGGTTCACATGTTTAACAAAAATATTTATCTTCCTCTAGCCTGTTATTGCTAATTGACCTAATTTTGGACCTCAAATGCTTGAGCAAGGTGACGAATGTCATGATAGTAGAGTAATGCATTTACTGCTAGAGAGCTTTTTTTCCTAAATCTTGTCAGCACAGGGAAACCAAAGCATCCCACAAACTGTTAAAAGATGTTTCAGGTGAGAATGAAAAAGAGGTCACAGAGGAAGTCCTTTTAAAAATACATTATCATAGGTAACATTCCTACTTTCCTTAACATTTAGTCCCATACCAGGAAGGAAGAAGAGTCATTTGGCCAATCTTGTCAGACTAAGCATAAACATTAGCAAACATCAAATGGATCCTGCTCCAAGAAAAACAGCCAGATCAAACTTATTTCTGGTTTATATAGTCTGCCAGGGAAGTGTGTCCTGCAGCCTTTATTCACTGATTGTACAGACTGGGAAACCAATAAGAAAAAAACAATGCCTTTCTCTCTGCCCCTGCCTACTTTAATTTACAGTACTGTGCACTACTGTCTGATCCAGGTGTCAAGTAAACAGGATGCCTAGGGAGGACACCTGGGGACCATAATGGTAGGGACCAGTAGAGACTGTGTGTGGTCTAGCAGGCTGGCACCTCCACTGATTTCATTGGGAATTCTGCTACTAACTTGGCAGAGGAGGACAGTTTTAGAAATTGTTAAAATATGAAATCTTGGAACACTAAATCATATTGACGCATAAAAATTGTCTAGGATCTAGTAATGATTTAAGAAAGGAAGAACACAAGGGAAAATATTTAATTTTGTTTTACCATTTAACATGCCATCTTCATCACTTTCAAAGTCGTCTGAATATTCATCCTTTTCCTTGCTTCTTACATAATCAGAAATTGCTTCCTGTAGCTCATCCTGAAATGGCTTCACAAATAACTTTTACAAAAAAGAGGATTCACTTGTTCAAGTTCAACACTAATCCTCCCCTCCCACACATACGTAAGTAAAACTCAGCAACAGAGATAAGCCATTTAACTGACAATTATGCTGAAGTGTAGTGCTTCCATTCTATCTCCATTCCCCTAACATATCAGCATTAAAAAAAAAAAAGTCCCCAAATCTCCATGTATTTATTTGTATTTCTTCTTCATAAGAATTATATCTTGCAAATTCCTTTCCCATTTTTGGGCACGTGCGGTGTATCATCATGTGACACTTCTCCTCTTTTGTATGTTTTGATAGGCAAGAGCACAAGAGGAGGGTCTATCAGAGCAGGTGCTGTACAAGAGCCTGAAGCAGGTGGCAGGTCCAAACCAATGGAAGAACTTCACATATTTTGGACTCTTTGCTGAAGGACATCACGGACACAGTACATTTACATGATTCTGAAGTGTACTGGCCTTAATTACAGATTGAAAACACATAAAGAAACGCACCAGTATCTCCAGATCGCGGACCCTGGCGCACAAACCACGAGGAGCAGTGGCTCGTCACGGGCCTTGTGCGCCTCCCGAGGCACCGGCTGGCGCCCAGGCTGCTCCTGCATGCCGGCATCAGGGACGGGGCAGCCGGGCCATGGGGCAGCTCCCGGTGTCCTCACCGCGGGCAGCCTGCTTGTCCGCTTGCATTTCCAAAGCAACGCGCATTTTTGTGCGTGTGCCGCCTGCAGCAGCGAGTTACTGTACTCCCAAGGGCAGAAACCCGTTCGCAGGCCCCGTCCCCAGCGCCGGCTTTGCCCTGCCCCTGCCCTGCCCTGCCCCGGCCACCGCCGCTCACCTGCAGCCCGCAGCCGCCCGCCATGGCGGACGGGTCTCGCTGCCGCCGAGCCCTCCGAGAGCCCTGGCAAAGAGCCTCGGGGAGAATCCCCGGCGGAGAGCCCCGGGAAGCAGCCCCGGGGAAGAGCCGCGGGCCGGGCCCGGCCGGTCCCGCCCGGTCGCCCGGCAACGGCCGCGCCGGCGATCGCCTTCCTTAGTCGGGAATCGCCTCACGCCGCCGCAGCGCCGCTCCCTCAGCCGGGCCGCAGCTGCGCCGCCAGGGTGTGATATCGATCTGTTATCGATGCCCATTCTCTGCCGGGATTTATTACCGATGTCCCTATCCTGCAGATAACCCCATTCCCACAAGGAGCACATCCATACATCCATGACACTCGTAACAGGGCTGACACGTTTGTCAGCCCCACTCTTGCAGTCAGGTAATTGTCCAATACCTTCGTTCTTGGGATGTGCTTTACGAAAGAAACATACTCACTTTAGTGCTTTCTGGAATACAGATCTGCTAGCACCTGTGTGTTAGTTTAAATCAGATTTTAGGCATGGAAAAATTACAGTGGCATAGCAGTAAATCGCCTGATCCTTACACCTTCTAATACTCCAATTTTATATCCGGATCCAAAGAGTGGTTGTGCATCCACCTGGCGAGCTGCAGCCCGCCAGTGACCAGACACTTTGCCCAGCACACATCCCTGCAGAGCTGCTGTCCCAGAGGTATCTGTCCCCTGTGTGATGAAGGCACCCGAATCCCAGGGTGCTCTGGAAGCACCAATCTCGTGCATCAAAGAAAAGCTATCCACTTCAGGGCCCTTTATAGGTACAGACATTTCTATTCTTCCTCCAGTTTAAATGCTTCTGATCTCACCTTTCTAAAATAAGACTAGTGCTCCAGTTGTCTTAGTGATAACAAAGAACTTCTGACATGTTCTCTATACTGGTGTTACATTTATTTATATTAACATTCCCCAAAATGCATTGCATTTTTGTAAGTTGTGCAGAAGCAAATCTCTCTGACAGAAACAGGGAGAGAATATGTGGAACAGAGCCCAGAGCCTTAGGACTTGTTTTTCTCTTGTTTATTGATGTAGAGTAATATTTTAAAAGCAATGCAGTTATGCAAAGGGCACAGTGCACCTGGGGGGAAAGAGGCCCTGAGTTCTAACAAGTAACCTTGGATTTTAACTAACAATTATTTGCCAGTGATTAATTGATATTTAGTTATCATCTGTTAGCAGCTTCTTTCTTTGTTTACCGCTGTTTATTTATGGCCAAATAATGCTTGATCTGCTGACTAATCATGCCATTTATTGTGAGTTATGCTTGATGCACAGATTTTTTTACTCTATTTTCTTCACATGTGAAAGCCCTAAATTTGAATATGTGCTATTCCATCTCCCTGTGAAAGTGAAGGGTGAAACTCAACATACTTGTTAAGAATTTAAAAAGGAAGAAAGAAGAAATTAACATATTCTTTCTCTAATAATGTTAGTGATTGCTGTTGAGGGCTAAATTATATATCCCTGTTACAAACCGCTGAGATGCACATTTTATTAAATTCCAAAAGGTGGCAGCAAAATATTCTAAACTTGAACAATTGGTTGTTTTTTCCCCAAATGTCCAATTTATTCTAGTTTCTTTTATATTATTGGCAATATTTATGGGATTTTTTGAAAGATACTATATTAATTTAGCATTGCATACACTGTAGAGAAGGAACACTCAGTTTAAATTATTGTGTTATTTACATGAGTCAGACAAGGAGTCCTCATATCACCTGCATTATTAAATATTCAATGTACTGAGTTGGTTGAATGCAGCAAAAATGTATCAATACTGTCAGCACTGAAGAACTCAAAATGTGTGAAGATGTTTTTGTCAAAACACATGAACATCAGGTCTGAATCTTCTTATCTTACCTGAGGCAAAAATCCCAATGAGACCCACTGAGGTGGATGGGCCTTAAGCCTAAATATGAATCTAGTGCTCTGGGCATAAGAGACTTACTTAAAAAAAACCCCATGCACAACAACAAAAACAACAAAAACCCACAAACAAGCAAAACACAAGCCCCAAACAACCAAAAAAACCCTTATTGAGGACAAAACCCAGAAGATTTTATGGTATGAAAATGAGCATTAGCCTCTGTTTTTTAATTAGTACCTGACTAATATATCACAAATGTAAACTGTACAGCTTTTTCTCTTGAGTAGAGATGGAGCATTAAGAATAAGGCTCCAAATGATCGCAGCAATTATATCAATTTGGAAAAAATAAACTTAGAAGTAACATTTTATTCTGCTGACCAAATGTGTGTGAGTCTCTGCCATGCCCAGAGCCTTAAAAAAAGCACTTTTTAAAACAAGCATCATGATGCAGTGTGATTGCCATCTGCAGGAATGATGTTATATTCAGAAAGCAGTCAAGTATGATGAGATTTTTGGATGGTTAGCTTATATGCATAGAAAGAACTTCCCTAAGTGGTTTATTTTATCAATATGTTTAGAGTTTGTAAGACAAGTTTTAAGATTCCTTCTGAACACATGACACATAGATCAAGTCAAAATATATAAAACCCTTTACTGGAGGGAAATGTTCTGCTTGCCTAGGTTTTCCTTCCCAAAGTTAAAAGTTACACTTAAAAGGAAATGTAATGCCATGACAAAATCTCTGAGTTGGTGTACACTCCTGTAGAAAGTGATTTTTGTGTTGGTTGCCAGGGTCTCGGCTCATAAATGACTATTCTTGTTCTTGACATCAGTGGGAATTAGACATCATCTGCAAGTGCATCTGGCTCTTGGCCCTTGCACATGTATTTTTTTAGCAGAGTAACAAGTAGCTTCAATTCTAAACAACAAAGTGCTCTTCTATCTAGGGGTCATCATCACAGACATTCTTAAGTACACACATTACAAATTATTATTCTCACATTCTCCTCCCAGTTCATATGAAATAGTCTATTACAATGTGCCATGTTTTGCAGGGCTATGCCTGTCCTGCCAAAATATACTATTCTTCTTATGCTTGTCTTGAAATAAAACCAGAAATACAATCAACTTTGAGCATTAGATGGAAATCCTCATTGTCATCAAATTCAACCTCTCACTTTTACATCTTGACCTGACTTGTAAGTAAATAGAGAAGATGCTGTCAGGGTAAGAAGGTATGCAACCTTGGCTTAGTATATTGTTGTTCTTAGGTATTCAGCCAGGAAAGTTGAATTGGATAAAATTAATAAATACAAAAACATAGATACTGAAGGAACAGACTGCAAAAATGGAGCAAAAGAAAGAATAAACTGGATGAATAATTTCATAACTACATCACTTACATGGCAGTTTATGAATACATGTGTTCTGGACTGGTTAATTTATTCCTGAGCATTGGACTTAGAAGTAACAGATGGAGGTAGATATCCCAAAAGGCAAAAAAAATATATCCTTGACTTTTTAAAGTTATTTTAGGCTTTATTTTTTTAAGCTGTCTTTTTTTGTAAATAGTACTAGATGTGATTTTAAGGAAAAGCATTGGAACATGGAGGAATGAAACAGCTGTCTCGGTGTTGTGCTTGGTCATAGTAACAAGGCAATGAACTTTTCAAAAAGACAAAGCTTGTTTGTGTTGGTGGCAGCAGATTTGACTTCCTGTAAAGGGTAGTCAGAAAAAGCAAACCTTTTCACATCAAGTGGAGTCATTTTGTGTGCAAATGACTCAAGCTACTGCTGTTGCTTGTATATAGATACATTCTTTTTAAGTCTTGCAGCTGTGAGCTCTGGTTAAATAAACACCTTTGAGTGAAACCTCGCAGACCTGTAATTGCTTAAAAACATCTCTCACTCTCGAAATATCTCCATGTCTAATGTTGTATTAGCGCTGTCAGGAGAAGCCAACAGCTGTTAAGTGCTGAGCAGTAACTCACTTTAATGCTGTGGCACATTTCACAGAGAGAGGAACCATGCTTGTCAGATTATCACCTGCGTATTTGAGAAGTGTCAGGGCTCCAAGCTGCTGGCACCTGAAGGATCACCAGAGAGCCAGACACAGGACCTTGGGGGAAAGGTTATACATCTTGTATAATGTCCTGCAAACTACCAGCCCCAAGGGACGAGAAATCTGACATCATAAAAATTAATCAGAGAAAATGGATGCAGTAAAAGGCCAAGTTAAATTGTTTTGTGTTTAGAAAGACTGGCTGGCTAATTCTCATTGACAATAAAAATGGCTTCTTCCGCTTTTTACATCTATATTCCTCCCTTGTCTCTTTTTAATTTTTGGTGCTATTCTAGTTGCACTGTGGCAGGAAGATTTAAAGAAGAATAAAGCTGCCAGGTCTGATTCTTCTACCATTATCCTAATGAAGATAACCGTGCAAGTAACCTTAAGAAATAAAGATGAATGATTACCTTACTCCAGTGCAGCAAAACAAAGGCCTATTGGAAAAACACTGAATGTATCACTTTATCTTTTTAGATTTATAACTGACCATATATAAGATATTATCTTTTTATATCTTTTGAATGTATTGATTTGTCTATCAGTCCACCTGTAAGAACCTTCCATATCTGAGCACTTCTTAGTCTTGAAGGGAGTTATCAACTTTACCTGCTAGACTGCTGAGACAGAATTATTATTCCCATTTTGTCTATGTAGAGAGAAGACTCAGAAGCTGTGCTAGTGACACAAAGGCATGCAAAAATTCTATGGTGGTGTAACTGTGGAGGATTTCTATCTTGCCTGTTTTGCACTAGCTTATACCCTTAACCAGTGAAGAAAATTCAGACATCACATGATGACTTGTACCCATTAGGAGCAGTGATGCAGAAGATGCAGAAGAATCTCGAGAACATCAGTGTTATTTCAGTGCTTGATAAAATGTTTAGGCTTTTACTAACAGCTCACCTTTTGTGGTTCTCTTTTGAGAAGAGAGCAATTTATTTTCAGCTTACACTAGAGACACGGTAAGATTCTAAGACAGCATAGAAGAAAAAGCTATAACATCAGACCCACACCTGAACAAATACAGAGACAAGTGTAGCATATAGTTGGACATTTTCTATTTTTACTTTAGCTCACAAATGGGTAGGTCACTATTATCTCATAGATTGGAGCCCTGGTTTCCTTATCTTTAGATCCACTGTATTCAGCTGCTCCTTTAAAGAGAGTGATGGTAAGGGAGCACACT